GAGGTCGAAACAAACGCAACCAGAACAGTTCCAACAAGGAGGAACACGAGGCTTTTGTTAAAATAGAAGATCGATCCTCGCGTATCACGAATAACTACCGTTTCTGGAATAGAGAAGAAGCAATAACGCGAAACGTTCCGCGATAACACAAAAGACATTCCATCCGACGATTTCCTTGTCCCTGGGCCAATATCGACCTCCATTCCGTGATCTACATTTGGATATTAAAGTTTGTTCATCGTGATTTCATATTCACCCGGTGCCCTTAGGCCAATGTTTGCGCCATTGCGAATTCCTCCCGTTTCCGCTCCCCTGAATCACTCGATAGCATCAACCATCCCATCCCCAATCTTTCCAACGTTATCTTATCACGGGATAAGAGAGGATCGTGCCTCCCTCCCTTTGATTTCACCTGGACGTTTCACGCGTTTCTTCCACTTCCGATGGAAAGGTTCTTTATGGATTTTAGATATTGCGAATTCGGTGCGCTCCACCTTCCTTCTCCTCCGTGTTCGATCGGCCTCTTTCCGAGCCGTTTCCCTCCTTTAGGCTTTCCTTAGGATAGAGCGATGAATTTTTGAACAGGAGGCAAACACGTCTGCGGCTTGGAAATAATATCAATCATCTCACATTTTTTCGAAAACCAGTTAAATTTAGATATTGAGTTTGGAAATTAAATCAAATCCTTCTATGCCAGAGATTTTTAATCCTCTCTATTATTTTTCTATCTTTTGAACAATTGATTTGATCGATGAATTTTTTTATGAACGTCATTTCTGACGAAATATAACAATTCAACTTCATAGTAATTGTAAAATTGAAGGGAATTGGAAAGAGGCAACTTTATGAAATAATAATGAAGATATTTGTGCAATTATTGTTAATAGCTTGCTCAAGTCTTTCTTGGAATTTTTCTATCACTTATGATATCTGGTATGCAAATGGTACGCGATAATCGCATTTTGTATTTTCTTATTGCATCTCGCAATAACGTTTTAACAATCCACGTGGATCCTTTCGATACTAGCTACGACACATCTAAGATTACTATCTTTCCTATTCCACGCAACATCTTATTCGAAACAATGCGCATAATTTTACGTAATTTACGTGGTACGTAATTTCAAGTGCAATCGATAATAGTTCTGCAGTTCTATCACATTCCTGATAATAACTAATATTTCGTTAAATAACAGGTTACATTCGACGACGTATCTATTATTTGATCTTTTGTTGGTTAATACGATGGAAAGATTGTGAAAGAATAACTACTTCCACGTCCTTCTTTTTGAAAAATATTCCAACATTATTTTTTCTCAATTTTTATTCATTGTATACTATTACATAAATATATTTATTCTTAACTCAAAAATTCCTGATATTCTATTTTAATTTCCTTCGAATTATCTATTTCGATCCTTCCATTCTATTCTTTTCAATTTATCTCAAAAAGAGAAAAAAATCGAAGAAGCAAATTATCTAATTCAAGTCTTAATCTTCTTCTGTCCTAATTACATTCCTCCTCACGATTTACAACTGTTCTACAAGCAGAATTCGAAGTCCCGGAGGGATTTCCACTGCGAAACTCCGTTCGTATCCTGTACAATCATCAATCGTGCACGTTTATGGTAGAATTTCGGGGCGAGCAAATCGAATTGGTCCCCGTGAATTAACGTGCACAATACCTTACAGGGCAACGGGAACACGCAGGCAGCGCCACCATTTCTCCATTATTGGCGGGCGATTCGATTAACCTGCATCAAAACGCGGCTCGTGCACGTGTTTGGCCTCATTTCAGGATGGTCCCTGCACCTTTCTGATTCATTGCCACGTTCAGATCGATACCTCGTAACGATATTATCTCTGTTATCCCCTGCCTCGTTTCTTGTCCACGCGAATTTTTCTCCCATCGCGCTCTTTCACGTTCCTCTTTCTACAATGCTGTATATAGGGATTATCTCGAATCTGTGAATGTTATATATTCGATGATATCATGGTGGAACAAACTTCTTGTTGTGGGATGGAAGATTTATAAAATGGTTTGCGCATAATTTAAAAATTTTTTGGCTCCAAGGGAAAATATCTTTTACTTAGTTCTTTTAATTAATATTCTATTCTTCATACTACTTTCAAAGTTTTCCTTTTAAGAAATTATGTATTATCATATAAGACACTAATAATAATAATCTAAATGTTAGATTAAGTTTTCACTAAAAAATCTCAAATCTAACAATTTTGACACATTAATGATATCCCAAACAAGAGAAGAAAAAGATTTTTTACCTGCTTTATATTAAGATTTTCACTAAAAAATCTCAATCTCAAATCTAACAATCTACATTAACAAAGGAAGACACTAATCAAAATTCCTTCTTCCCCAAAAGTTTAATTCTCATTAATTATTCTTCTCTAACACACTTTTCACTCGTTTCACCGTTTAATATTTCATACCTCCACATACCTTACTTTAGGCTTTATCTTAGACTTTCCTTCCAAAAGCCTGGAACCCAGAATACTTATCCACCCGTAATAACGAAAAACACCTAATCAAAATTCCACTTTTCTAGATCCCCCTTCTTATCCCTTTCCTCGATCCTCCTCTATTCCATCATCGTCATCATCACGATATAAACTACTCTCAACCGAGTTTCCCGCCCTGCTAATATCCCAGAAATATGAAATATCGAGCGAGAGCTACGCCGATTGAATTCCAGAGCGTCCCGTCTATCGAGCTCACCGACTTTCTTTATTTCCAGGCATCGTGAATGCAGTGTATCTTTTAAGTAAGAAAGAGAGAGAGAGAGAGAGAGAGAGATCAGGCCAATGGTTTCCAGGATATAAGTTTCCATAAGTCAGATCTGTGACCGGCGTTCGAACAAATATCGAACGAATTCTTCCCCAAGCCGAGTTTGGATAACGATGGAAAAATGCAAAAGCATCGATCTCCTTCGATACCGGCGGCCATTCGACCCTCCCTTCGGTTCATTTTATTGAATTCAGCCGTTGAATTCTCGATTTTAAAGGGGGACAGACACGTGCAACCACGCCATGAATATTGCACCGTCACGATGGCTCGAAATGACCGCTTTATTGTGACCCACGTCGATTTTACGCCACTTGGAGATGGCTCCTCGGGGTGGACTTGGTCGAGGGAACAAGGTCCATTTGATTGCGGAGGAGGTATTTTCTTATATACGAGTTTGGGGATGCAAAAGGAGTGGTAAATTGTTTACGAGTGTCGTCGATGATTAATTAAATTTAATATGAGGAGAAAGTTGATAGAAGATAGATTTTATCGAGCGAGATCGAGAATGAATTTTTTCTTGCGAGTGGAGCAAAAGCGAGGATGAGGAAATGGCTGGGCTGATACAACAAAGTAAATTGTTTATGACTGATAATACTGATTAACTTTTTTTTCGTGAATTTAATATCGAAGGAAGTTGATGGAACGAGAAGGAGTAAATTGATGAGGTTTGGAATAAATTTTTCCAACGAATTGTTTTGATAATTTAATTTTAAATTTAATTTAATTATCGGAGAAAAATGAAGAGACGAGGACGCGTTTCCGAATTCGTTGATTCGAACTTGTGAATTTATGGATCGATTTGAGAATTAAACAACTTCTTACGAATTGTCTTCTTATGACAAGTTTACTTATGAATATTGGATACGTTAATAATTAATTTTTTGCTTAATTTAATTTTAAACGATATGACGTAAATGAAGCGGTAGCTTTGCATTTTCCTTTTTCTTCGCTCTCTTGGTGATATAATATATACGATTTCTTGGTAAAATTCTCTCTTCTCGTTAAACGCAACGAGTTGTAAATGTTAATATATGAATTGAAAATACATTTGCTTTATACGATTCAATGTATCGTAAAATAAACTGCATATATTATGCACCCTGTATATACACAGATCCGAATACTATCGAAGAATAATGTTAAAAGAAATAAAATATAATAATTGCTCGATTAAAGAAACGATCAACAATCCAAATTATCTCTCTTCCTTCCTTTCGCTCGAACAATCAATTTCTCAACTCGCTCTCCAAAATACGCCAACGAAATTTTCATCAGAATAAAAGAAATGAAAATTTTCATTTCCTCCTCGTACGATTGATCCTTCTCCTCGATCATTAACCTCCCCCACCGATATTCCCCTCCTCGCGGAATTAATTCTAATCCTTATCGGCGTCGAAACTCAGCGGGGAGGAAGACGAAAAAAGAAAAAAGAACGCGCAAGAGTTTAATCGTTGGAATCTTCGGTTTCAACCGAATCGCGGGGAGGGATTAAACGAGTTGCCAATTTCAATTAAGGGCGCGATCACAAAGGAAGCATCCCGGAAGGGGAGCTTCTATTCGGTCACGGCCAATTTAATCTCCAATCTAATTTTTAACGCTCGCCTTCCGCCCAAGAATATTACACGCTTCCGATTCTTGTCTCGGGCAACGAAAATGGGGACAAAATGGAATTGGGCGTGTGGAACCGTTCGAATAATTTGGAATAAATATTTATCGTGGCTGTGTTGTTGTTCGCCGCGTGTTCCACCGTGGCGTTGAAATTCGAAATTTCAATGGATGGAGGAGGTTGTTTCGAGATTGAAATCTCCGTTTCACGGATATTCCCTCGCGATACGGATCGGAAGAAAACGAAACGTTTTCGGTGGGGTAAATTTTTCTAAAAAATATCGCCCGGAGCGAATATCGGTCGATCGAAAAGGATTAAATCGTAGCACAAATTCCATAATTCGTCTCGATGGATTCATCTCGACTGACCCTACTAAAATTTCAAAGGAAATACTTTCATTCTTATCTTCTCTTCCAGTTCCGTGGATACAATTTTTCTCTTCTTGACCGCAAGAAGAAAGGATTTTTGCAGAAATAAAAAAATAGAAAAAAAAAAAAGAAAAAAGAAACAAAAGAAAGGAAAATCCACGAGCACGGTGGAAACGAAGTTTGCTCAGTAGTAGTGTAAGATACCTTGTGTTTGACTTACCTGTTTAATCCAACTTTTCCACAAGTCTCTGTCCCAGGGGTGGTGGAAGCCAAGATATAAGTGTCTCGTCTCGCGATGGTGACTGTCCTCCCGTTGTTGACTCTGATGACACTGGTGAGTGACCCTTGGAAATCCGGTGATACGCAGCACGAGTTTACCCAGACGTGACGGGGCATAGCACACCGCACCCCCACCGGCCAGCTCCATCCACTCTGGCCGAGATTCAGGACAGGCTGAAATCAGGATGATTGATTTCGAATTTAGTTACGACCAATTTGACTCCCGGTTATTGTCACGCGACCCATTTTCAATCAGCACGCTTGGAATTGAGATTGGTCATCTTATCGATACATACATATGTCGAGGATATAACGCAGATGGATATTTCGTTAGTAAAAATAAACTTCTCTACACATTTCACTTTCTTATCGTATGTACACTTTTCCTGTACTTTATCCTTTTACTATCTTATCGCATTCTCTTTCTTTATATTTAAATTAAACAGCTATTAATCCAGATATTCCTTATCTTTTTTTTTGTTGCTATCATTGGTTCACTCGATAAGATAAAAATTAAAATTCTAATGCATACTAATATACATTCCTCGTAAACTATGTGTCTATTAATCTAGATATTAAGTGTTTGACACTTTTACATTCTCTTTCTAGACTACACAGCTATTAAACTAAACAGCTATTAATCCAAACATTTATCTTATCTTTTTGCTATCATACACTCGACAAATTCTAATCTGAACTAAGCATCTATTATTAATGTAGATACTAAGTGTCTGACACTTCTTCTATATTCTATTCTATTATCATGTCACACTTATGCATTCTCTTTCTAAATCCAAGCTAAACAGCTATTAATCTAGAAACTTGTTATCTTTCTGCTATCATCGGTACACTCGATAATACAACAATTAAGTTCTAATCTAAACTAAGCATCTATTAATCCAGATATTAAATACCTGACACTTCTTCTATATTATATTCTACTATCATTACACACTTTTTTATCTGAATCTAGATTAAACAGCTACTTATCCAGGCACTTATCTTTCTACTATCATTGGTAGAATTTAATAAAAATTAAATTCTAAGCATCCACTAATCCAGATACTCTAATGTCTTCGTCTTTATCCTTTTCTACCATCATATCACATTCTCCACGCTTTATCCACATTCACAATCATTATACCGCTACCAACCAACACGTTAAATTAATCATCGTGTTTTACTTCCATTCTTTCTTCTCTAATGATACTACTTCTTTCTATCCATCCTCCCAAACCGAATCATCGAATCGCCTCGCGAAAAAGTCAATTTCATCGTGCTCGTTACTCGATGGAACGTTAGCCACCACCGAGGTTACCTCTCGAACGAGGCAAATTCAGGACGGATCAACAGTTCCACAGGCTTTTTGACAGTGACAAACGCAGCCGAGCCGCGTCATCTAATTACACGGGACTACGGGTGGCAGCTGTCCATCCATGTTTCAGGGAGGGAGGAGGAGGATTTCAAATCCCGGCCACGCTCGTTTCACGCCGCGTGAACCACGCGTAACGCGGGTGCTCGCGGTTTGACAACGCGGCCCATCTCTCTCTCCAACATCCCCAAACCTTTCCAAACGTTTTCCGGGAAAACACCGATGCAAATCGGATTTTATTTGCCCGACGCCGCGATACGATCAACTGGAATCCAAATGATTGGAATAATAACGTTCGTCGGCCTTAATTGTTCAATCCGTGAAACGGAGAACCAACCGACCCTGTTCTTATGGGTGGCGAACAAACTCGTTTTCTTCAAACTTTTCCATCTCTGCCGATTTGTAACGTTGACGGATCAACAGTTCCACAGGCTTTTTGACAGTGACAAACGCAGCCGAGCCGCGTCATCTAATTACACGGGACTACGGGTGGCAGCTGTCCATCCATGTTTCAGGGAGGGAGGAGGAGGATTTCAAATCCCGGCCACGCTCGTTTCACGCCGCGTGAACCACGCGTAACGCGGGTGCTCGCGGTTTGACAACGCGGCCCATCTCTCTCTCCAACATCCCCAAACCTTTCCAAACGTTTTCCGGGAAAACACCGATGCAAATCGGATTTTATTTGCCCGACGCCGCGATACGATCAACTGGAATCCAAATGATTGGAATAATAACGTTCGTCGGCCTTAATTGTTCAATCCGTGAAACGGAGAACCAACCGACCCTGTTCTTATGGGTGGCGAACAAACTCGTTTTCTTCAAACTTTTCCATCTCTGCCGATTTGTAACGTTGGTTGTAATTTCTGATATCTTGATTTAGCAATTTTCATTTTTTGTTTTTCAAAATTTTTGGATTTTGATCTTGTATCGAAAGGTTTGCTTCTGTGTTGGTTGTAATTTGGGATCTTGGACTATGTAAATGATTCAAAATTTCTGAAACTTTTCCATCTCTACTGCTATGTAACATTAATTGTAATTTCTGATATCTTGATCTAGCAATTTTCATTGTTTTTTCAAAATTTTTGGATTTTGATCTTGTATCGAAAGGTTTGTTTCTGTGTTGGTTGTAATTTGGGATCTTGGACGGTGTAAACGACTAAAAATTTCTGAAATTTTTCCATCTCTACTGCTACGTTGATTGTAATTTCTGATATCTTGATTTAGCAATTTTCATTTTGTTTTTTCAACATTTTTAGATTTTACTTTCGAAAGATTTGCTTCTGTATATGTTGTAATTTGGGATCTTGGATGGAGTAAACGACGATAAAAGTTTTTGAAACTTTTCTAATTTCTCCATTTGGAAATTTCGTGTCGTACCGAGATCATCGAAAAAAATATGTAATTTCCTGCAGAGGATTGCTCCATACTTTTCAATCAATCCAATAAATGAATAATTTGTATTTGAAACATGTATATATATATATACATCGTTCGTTTCACAATTGCTGGTTACGTGAAACAGACGGTGATACAACAAATTTTGAAATCTTGAAACGGACGCGATCGATGTATGCATCTATGTATATTAATTACAATTTTCACGCTCGTATGCACGCGATCATATTTTACGGGGAGCACTTACGGGACGCGACCACGTGCCGTACTCGCTCGGGAGGGAATTAATAATTGCCAGTGATTCGCCTACCAGGCGAAAACAATCGCGCTCTAATGTGTATATACAACCGTTCCCACCGATAATATTAACCGCTTGGGAACAATCGTTTTGCGAAAGTAATCCTCCGTAGACTCGTGTAAATCCATAATATTCCCATTTGCAAAAAGCCTTCACGCTTCCTTCCATTTAATTCAAACTTCCCCCGTTCGGGAAAAATCCTCCTATCGGTTGGATTTTTCATTCGAGCTCGAAGGTGGGACGAAATTTTACCACGTGTCGTCGTGTACACACGACGGTAATAATGTTCCATGTGGTTAACCGTAATTCAGTTTCTGATAATGCGAATTTACATCGCGTGTCATAATCTAGTTTAATCAAGAATCTGAATTTATATCTCGTTCAATCGTATAAATTAATAGTTTCGAGCAGAATGAATAATTTAACAAGGAATCGGGTAAAAGTACATTTTTGTAATAAGAATACGGGAGTGGAGGGCGAAATTTGATGAAATTTGACTTTAATGCATAAATTTGTAAATTAAAAAATTGCAAGTAAAATATCGCGTAAGAATGACGAGATAGAAATTTGCGATCTCGTGGAAGAAAGAAAATTGAAAACAACGAAAATTCATCGCGAGGAAAGAAAAACGAAAAATTTATTACACCGTTGTTACCGAAAGAATAGTTCGATTTAGATATCTAACTCGAGCCCAACTTGAACGCGCAAAGCAACAACGAGATAAACGCGTGGGTTGATTAAAACTTTTCGAGAGACTTTCGAAAGCAGCGTTGGATCTGAAACGGTTCGACTTCGTTATTAAGCAATCCCTGGAAAAACTTTTTCTCGAGGATGCTAATGTCGAAAGTGATCGTGGTGGTCGAAACGGTTTTTTCTTCACAGACAAATTTACACAGCAAATTCTCCGATCGTTGTTTCCATCGAAAATTAAATTGTAATTTGTCGATTCGCATATGTGGATCATCAAGATTTCGACCAATGCCGCTAATCATGCTCGCCACTCTCTGATCACGTTGATGATCACTTTACGCTCTCTCTGCTTGTTTATCTTCTCTTTTCAAATCGCGTTTCTTTGCGATCGATCCACTCCAACTTTCGGTTACACGCAAAACGATCGAATCTGCACGATTCGACCGAATTTTAGATTTTAAAACGATCTCGATTGCGCTGTAAACAAAACTCATACGATATTGGATCATATTAGCAACAAATTGAATTACACGCGAAATTAATATTCTCATCCAGATGAAGAAAATGGATAAAAACGAGTTTAACCGATAACCCGATTTCTTGAGGCGATTCGATTAGTTTCGAAATCTAATTTACGAGGGGAACTCGTAAAATTTATACAGTGTAATATAGCATAATATAAGCTTCCAACGGAGGAGGAAATCGCACGGGATTCGAGAGATTTCCTGTCCAAATGAATTTAAAGGAATTACTCGTTAGAGACTGAAACTTTTTGATGGGGGGCGAGAATTAGATCCGTTTAAGGGGATGACACTCGAGAGATCGCCAAATGACTCTTCGTATTCCGTATTATCTCGAAACATCTCGCAAAAATATTTGGAAAATTTTCTATTCGCGAATAGAAACAACTACTTCGAAAAATCAAACATTCGAAAGAAATATTCCGATCGAAGAACGAAACTCGCCGCATCTCTAGCAAGAAGAAAATTTCATTTTTCTCGTTCGATTATTCCCTCGTTCCCACACACACGTGTACATACGGAGAAAATAAAACACGGAGTCGGTCGATTTGCGCTCCCCGGGTTATGAATTTAAATGCCGGCCGATGAATATTTATACACGTGATTCGGTTGTTTTCGTCACCTGTGTGCTCGTAAGAAAATCGTTCGATGGCCAAACCGATGTTTCGGTTCGAGAGGAAAATCGGTTTCTTTGCGATTTGTGATCCACGCGAAATGCGTGAAATGATCCACAATTTAAGTGGAATAGATAAAAATATTTTAAAATTTCTATTGGAACGAATCTGAGAATTTTCAATTCGGAAGAAGTTCGACTTGGAGAATATTCAATGTTTATCGAAAGTGAAATTTTTATGGGTGTTGTTTGTTAATAAGATTGGACAGGGTATAATTCAATTTG